CCCTGCCTTGCCCACAAAAGGGTGAGTCAAGTTGAAATGGCAACATCCTTCTCTAAATTTTACCCTCGGGTGGCTCACCAAAGGGTGAGTCAACTTGGAAGAGCAACATCCTTCATCCTTCTCTAAATTTTACCCTCGGGTGGCTCACCAAAGGGTCAGTCAACTTGGAAGACCCTCTCACGATGTAAGTGCGCGAGCAACGGCGAGCATACCTTCTTTTTATGCCACGCAGTGCAATATTGGGCGGAAAAAGTCTGGAGCCAAACGATTACTAGAACTCCCCGACGATTGCATTCATGAGACTGCACCTCTCCTTCCAGCCTCCCAGGAGTTTCAGGCCAAGCAGCACCGTACAGCAAGGACAGGATGCGAATCTTTTGTGAACCGGGCGCGATTGCCAAGAGGTTAGAACTTGATCATGCTACAACCACTGTCCACAGCTGACTTTGCCAGCTTTGTTCAGGTCCAGCATTAATGATCATCAATCCCGCATGAAAAAGGGGCCGGGCCGGGTGGGCCGCGCGAAGCGACCCTGATTTCTGACTGGAGCCCATTTGGCCACATTTCTACCGTTCATTTAAACAATTGATATCAGTTGATACTGGAACTCATCACTTTTCGGTTTCTGCTGACGAATGCATCACCTTTCACTGAACAGTTCGTTCATGAATAATTGTCCATTCGGTAACACCCCGACGCTTACATTCGATACTAAAGGCCCCCGACATTTAATTCTGTACTAAAACTCCCCGACGATTACATTCGGTACTAAAGCCCCCCGACAATTACGTTTTGTACTAAAACCTCCCGACAATTACTTTCTGTATTCAAACCTCCCGACAATTACTTTCTGTACTCAAACCTCCCGACAATTACTTGCTGTACTAAAACCTCTCGAAAATTACTTTCTGTACTAAAACCTCCCGACAATTACATTCTGTACTAAAGCCTCCCGACAATTACATTCTGCACTAAACCCTCCTGACAATTACATTCTGCACTAGGACCCCCCAACGTGACCTCTTCCCACAGCGCCGCATAAAAAAAAGAACCCTTAGCATAAAAAAAGAAACCATTAGCATAAAAAAAGAAACCAGGAGCATAAAAGAAAGAACTGCAAGCATAACAGAAAAAACCATTAGCATAAAAAAAAGCACTATAAGCATTAAAAAAGAAACCCATACCCCAAAAGCACACCAACCCCGCTGTGAGCATAAGAAAAAAACCATTAGCATAAAAAAAACACCCAGCCCGATTAAAATGATTTGCTATCCGGGAGCTCCGAAAAGGTTTGAAAACATGCGCAGCCAGGCACAGGTCTGCACCAAAAGAATCGCAGCAGCCTCTTGAACCAAAGTGGCTTGACTCTTTCCCGAAGATCAATAGCTGCCTTGGTCAGCCTGGGCAGTCTCTGAATCCATGAAGAAACAAGTATTTTGTGCAGTCGTTCCTTTACGCCGTTTGCTTTGCGCCTGTCCAAGCAAGACTGCTTTGGCTTTTCATCTCGTTTTTCCTCTTCCACTGGCTGATCTGACCTTAAAACTGGTCGCTGGATAAACACCAAGTCACCAAGTCGAACATGAGAATGAGTCTCACGATCAAGCATTAGACTGTAATCGTCTATCTTGAGAGCGTGGATGCTGGCAAAAGGCAGGAGCTGCCCTGCGCTATAAACACAGCAAAAATTGCTTCGGGGGCCCCTGGCTAGCTGCTTCGGCCGTTGCGGCGCGTTTGAAATGCGAGCGTTCAATTGCATGTTTTCTGCCCGTGCGAGAGAGCGTACGTGTTTTTTCCACAACAGGCGGGCAGTATGTCCAGCAGCACTTGAATCCAATGATTCCGTTATGCTGGGCCCGCATGTATTAGTTTTGCCTGTGTTCGTCCAAATTGTAAAACTAGGCCAAACACAAACTTCCCAAAAACTAGACCAACTAAGGAGGTCACAAGGAACCCTATGCAAACGTCTGGGCAACCGGCGAGTGGAAAGACCCATGAGACACCCTGAGTTCATCTGCCTGTCAGATTGTCAGACATGAGGCCGACGCAAAAAAACGCCTTCAATGTGAAACTTCAACCAAAGTGTCCAACGTGTAGAAAGGAATACTGGATTGATGGCTGGTTGAAAAGGAAAAAACTGGAACTAGACGACGAGTGGCCCGAAAGCATTTTTCATCACGTAGGAAATCAGAGTGTGAGTTACCTGTTAAGTGTTCAGTGTGAAGTGTTTAAGTCGAGTGAGTTGAGGTAGTGTGAGGGTCTCTGTGTGTGTGTATCTATGTCCGTGTGTATATGAGTCTGTGTATGTGTGTGCGCGTGTTCGAGTAAGTTGAGGCAGTGCGTGGGTCTCTGTGTGTGTACCCCTTGTGTTGAATTGTTTTTTCTTTTTAGCAGGGGGCCCATGGACACTTGGATGGCATGGGCCAACGAAGACCCATCCAAGCTGTCGTGAAAACGAACCTGCTTGGTGCACCTGGGCGCATTATAAGACGCAGCTGGTGGCCACCCTTCTTCCTTTTTGTAAAGTGCTAGTGAGCTCCGCAGACTTGCGCTACGACGTCACCCTGTCGCTCCGTCGTCGGCTTGCGCTTTGGGCCACCTTTCCTTTTTGAAGACCTCCAGGATCCGTGGTTCTTACTTGTACCCTTAGGAAATGGTACCCTGGGCCGGCGTGTGGCACCGCTGTCAAGTCGGTACGCATATCCATAAGTGTGTCTCTCCCAGTGAGAGTCCGGGGTGAGCCCGTAGAGTGCCTCCCGTGGACCCGTCGAACGGGGGTTTGTCGTTATCTCCCCTGCCCGGAGATGTAAGTGTCCGGAGCGGACAGCAGATGGCTTACGCCACAAGAAGTGGGACGTCTGTCTCATTTTTGGAATTCCAAGTTGGCTCATGCCTCTACGTGACCGCAGCGGTCAGAGGTGGCAGCCGTTGGGCAAGCCGTACGCGGTCGCAGCGACCGAAGTTTGTTCAAGGTTCATTGGAACCTGTCGCGAGCTTAGTCCCCCCCTTCCCCTCCCCTCTCCCCTTTCTTTCTTTGCTTTTTGTAGTTTTCCTGAATGGAATACTCAGGATCACCCCTTTCTTTCTTTGGTGTGTCCCTGGACGACTGTTCGTAGCTGGGAACACCTGCCTTTTTTCTTTTCTCTCCTCTCCCTTTCTCTCCCTCTCTCTTTCTTTCTTTCTTTCTTTCCTCTCTTCACCTTCTTCCTCCTTGGATTTCCCTGGATGCTTTTGTCATAGCTGGGAACCCTTTTCCTCTCTTCCTTTGGTGTGTCCTTGGACGCTTGTGTCGTAGCTGGGAACACCTTCTTCCCCTTTCCTTTCTTCTCTTTCTTTTCTCTTCTCTCCCTACCCCTCCCTCCCGTCGGGACCTTAGAGTGGGTTGCTACTAGGGGCTCCTGGCCTTACTACTGGGACGCTACTTTGTTGCTTCTAGGGGTTCCTGGCCTTACTACTAGGCGCAAGGACGCTCTAGGGCAGAGATGCCTCCCCTTGGGGAGGCGCGTGTGTGTACCCCTTGTAATCACAGGGATTCCGTTGAATTGTTGTTTCTTTTTAGCAGGGGGCCCATGGACACTTGGATGGCATGGGCCAACGAAGACCCATCCAAGCTGTCGTGAAAACGTACCTGCTTGGTGCACCTGGGCGCATTATAAGATGCAGCTGGTGGCCACCCTTCTTCCTTCTTGTAAAGTGCTAGTGAGCTCCGCAGACTTGCACGCTACGACGTCACCCTGTCGCTCCGTTGTCGGCTTGCGCTTCGGGCCACCTTTCCTTTTGAAGACCTCCAGGATCCGTGGTTCTTACTTGTACCCTTAGGAAATGGTACCCTAGGCCGGCGTGTGGCACCGCTGTCAACTCAGTACGCATATCCATAAGTGTGTATCTATGTCTGTGTGTGTATGCGTCTCTGTCTGTGTGTGTGTCCGAGTAAGTTGAGGCAGTGCGTGGGTCTCTGTGTGTGCGTCAACCTCTCAAGAGAGCCGGCTGGTCGGGAGACATGACTCAGCTGCAGGCGCGCCAAAGCAGCCGCGAGAGATGACTCAGCCGCGAGAGATGACTCATCCGCGTACTAAAGTTGTACTACAAAGTCGCCAGTTCTCATCTTCCAGCTCTCCAGCTACTCCGCGCACTAAAGTTGTACTACAAAGTCGCCAGTTCTCAGCTTCCAGCTCCACAGATACTCCGCGTACTAAAGTTGTACTACAAAGTCGCCAGTTCTCAGCTTCCAGCTCCACAGATTGCTCCGCGTACTAAAGTTGTACTAGAAAGTCGCCAGTTCTCATCTTCCAGCTCCCCAGAGACTCCGCGTGCTCAAGTTGTACTAGGAAGTCGCCAGTTCTCATCTTCCAGCTCTCCAGATACTCCGCGTACTAAAGTTGTACTACAAAGTCGCCAGTTCTCAGCTTCCAGCTCCCCAGATACTCGGCGTACTAAAGTTGCACTACAAAGTCGCCAGTTCTCAGCTTCCAGCTCCACAGATTGCTCCGCGTACTGAAGTTGTACTAGAAAGTCGCCAGTTCTCATCTTCCAGCTCCCCAGAGAC